ACAGGGAACCATCGACACTGGAATGGCAGTTTTCATTCCCGGAAAGGCTGTGCCTTTCAAGAAAAGCCACCTACAGAGATTAGGGAAGAAAAGAAAGAAGACAAGGTGGAAAAGTTGCAGTTTGAAGAGGAAGACTTTGTAAGTACGAAGCTCTAGATGTGTAGGTCTTAAATACAGACCCTATTAGTACTATTACAGAAAAGGGAGACTTARGTTTAGGTTTATTTTTAAAGGAAAGGGGTTCATTTGGTTAGTTTGAAAATGATGATCAAAGTTCCTATGTAACTTACAGCAAATCTTAGTACATTTTTCTTCGTTACACCTTTGGAGTGTAAAAGAAAAATTGTAATTTTTCCTGAAGTTTTCTAAGGTTTAGTATCTAAATATAATTACATAAATTATCATAAGAGGTTTTTTCCCTTTTAATATTACTCTCATATAAAATTGTTGTAATAAGTTAGGAATATGCAATTTTGARTGTTTAAGCTGTTGCATGTATGTTCAGCAAGATTTTATGCTGTTTTATTGAATTGTATGCCTTTTGGCATCTAATGAAAAGTGGAATTTTTAGAGTTCATTTTTAAAATTAACAAAATATTTTATTTGACCAAATATATCCTGAATATTATTACTTTAACATATACTCTATGCTTAAATTATTAGTGAGATAATGTACATTATTTTTATATTCCGTCTTCACTGTGTTTCCTGTACTTATAGCACATCTCAGCATAGACTGTATGTACATTTTAGTACTTAATGACTACATGTAGCAACTCTATAGTTATTTAAATAGTGCAACTCTAGTTATTTGGGGGCATTCTACCACTGAACTACATCTCCAACCCTTTTTATTTTTTATGTTGTGACAAGGTTTTTGTTGTTTGGGCGGGAGGGGGCACGCAACCACAGAACCACATCCCCAGCCCTGTTTTACATTTTATCTAGAGACAGGGTCTTACTGAGTTGCTTAGTGCCTCACCAWTGCTGAGGCTGGATTTGAACTTGTGATCCTTATGTCTCAGCCTCTTGAGCCACTGGGTTTACAGGCATGAACGCCGGACGCAGCTGGGTTTTACTGAGTTGCTGAGGCTTGCCTCAGACTTGAAATCCTCCTGCCTTAGTGTCTTGAGTAGCTGGGATTACAGTTGTAACCAGAAACTTCTGTTATAGCCACTTAAACAGCATATTAATAAAGTCAACTAAAGGAGTTGGAACTATAGGTCAATGACAGGAGAGTACTGTTTGTCAAGCACGAGGCCTTGTGTTCAATCTTTAACACTGAGATGAATTTTTTAAATCAACTAAAGAGGAGTCGGGTTTGGATTTTTGTTGTTGTTGTCAATAGACCTTTACTTAATTTATTTTTTATGTATTTATATGTGGTGCTGAAGATCGAACCCAGTGCCTCACACATGCTAGGCACACACTCTGCCACTGAGCTACAAACCCAGCCCTATCAAATTTGGATATTAATCTCTCTTCCCCAAGTCTAGAAAAGTCCTAGGGTCCTTGATGTAAATGTTATATATTAATTCCTGTCCTTCAAAACTTTATTCTTTGGAAATCTATGTTTCCCTCACACTCTCTTGAGTATTTATCCAGAATGACCCAGATATCCAGTAGTACAGAAAGTAATATATTAGAGGGGGAGGAGGCACAGAGCAGAACCTGTGGAATAGCCATAAGGGTGACTGAGAGTGATTAGCCAAAGAAGAAAAGGGTATATCAAGAAAGAGAAGTAATATACGAATTACAGATTAGCCTTTTGCTATGGGTACCTGTCTGTATTCCTAGCTACTCAGGAGCTTGAAGGAAGAGGATTGCCAGTTTGAGGTCACTCTGGGCAATTTAGCAAGATCCTGCCTGAAAATCAAAAAATGAAAAGGGTTGGGATATAATTCAGTGGTAGAAGGCCCCCGTGATCCATTCCAATCCCTGTGGTGAAGGGGCACCATTGATAGGTTTTAAGGTGTTTGGGGACTGAATTGTTTGGAGCTGACTTTCTTTATTATTTTAAATTAAAAGTTATTTTGTAGGGGCTGTGGCTCAGTGGTAGAGCGCTTGCCTCACGTGTGAAGCACTGAGTTCAATCCTCAGCACCACATAAAAATAAATGAATAAATAAAGGTTTTTTTTTTTTTTTTAGTTATTTTTATTTTTAAAATAGTCTTATATAGTTGCCTTGGGCAAGTTAAATAGTTGTAATTGTCCTGGAATTATTAGGTAGAGATAGTAATGTATGCATTGTACTATGGTGTATGTTGAATAATGTATGTGACACATAGTTGGTTCTTTTTGTTTTTATTTTGTACTAGGGATTAGCCAGAGATGCTTTGCCACTCAGCTATATCCCTAGTCCTTTTTATTTTATTGAGGCAGAATCTTGCTAAATTGCCCAGGCTTGCCTAAAACTTGACATTCTCCTGCCTCAGCCTACTAAATTGGTTGGATTACAGGCATGTGCCACTATACCTGATGACACATAGTTGGGTTTTTTTGTTTTGTTTTTTAATGGTAACTACTGCTATTATTAAATGTTCAGATCCTGTTTGTAAGTACTCAGTTGTGGCTCACTGAATGGCAGAGCAGTTGCTGACATGCTTCTCTGGGGGAAAAGTGCTAGAAGTTTGCCCTATGGAGTACCTGGGAAAACCATACATGGGAGATGTTACTCTGCTTCATAACTACTCCTAGAGTATTGAGGGAARCTACAGGACTCAAGTCTCACTTGCACTTCAGAACTTGGCTTTGAGGAACTGTGCTGCAGGAGGCTACAGAGTAAGCACACTGGAACAGGAAACAAAACTCTTTTAGCTCTTTGCATTAACAAAAGTTAACACTCCAGCTGCAGATATTTTAGAGTGCCAGATACATTTACACAGAATAGATAGAAGAGATGACTTTGGAATTAGAAGCAGTAAATTGCAAGAACCAGCACAGGTCTTCTCATTGTTTATACCAACTAGCTGATATTCTCTTTTACAACAAAGTCTCCAACTATTGGAAATATAGTCCAGACTGAGCTGTACAAAGACACATAATAGACAAAGGAAAGGGAAAGTTCACATAAAAGGTGGGGGGGACAGAACATCCAGCATTAAAAAAAAATAAGTCACTATATATATWTTTTTTTAATTAAATATTTATTTTTTAGTTTTTCAGCAGATACAACATCTTTGTTTGTATGTGGTGCTGAGGATCGAACCCAGGTCGCACGCATGCCAGGCGAGCACGCTACCGCTTGAGCCACATCCCCAGCTCAAGTCACTATATTTTTGAACACTGAAAACAAGAGCATGAAGAGCTACCTAGACCCATCAACAGAAGCTAATGTAATCATATATAAGTGAGCAACATGAAAGGATCAAGGTCAAATTCCTTTCTACCGCCACAAAACAGATATGAACTATAATTTATTATCTTAAAACATTAACTAAATGATATTAAGAAAATGGTAAACATAATTCAGAAATGCTCATGGTATTAGAACTCTGGAAAAAAGTAATGAAAGATTTAAGGAAAAAAAGGCCAAACAAGAAGGAATACAAAAGAATAAAACACATTTTTCAAGAATTAGAAGACACAAAAAAAAATCTTAAATGAAGAAAAAATGGATAAATTAAAACTGAGGAAAAAAGTGAATACAAAAGTAAGACAAAAAAGTCCAATATACATAAACGTAATAGCATCTCTGTCCCTAAAGAAAACCAAAATAAAAGGAATAGCTTAAATACTGAAGAAAAGTTCAACAAAAAATATATTGAAATACAAGAAAATTTGTATGAAAAAGCTTTAAATTAAAAGGCTAGCCATAGCAGCCAATACTGAAACGTAGTCTTTAATTAGATGTGAACAAAAAAGAAAAGAAATATCCTTTGGACATCCTGACATAAAAATTGAGTGACTTAAGAGAAAGGAAATCAAATATACTTCAACAGCAAAGCTTTATAACAAAAATWAATGGAGTGGGCTGGGGTTGTGGCTAAAGTGGTAGAGCACTTACCTAGTATGTGTGAGGCATTGGGTTCGATTCTCAGCACTGCATACAAATAAATGTGTAAAATAAAGGTCCATCAACAACTAAAAATATATATATATAAATTTAAAAAAAATAAGTAAATAGACTAAGAATATATGAAAAAAGGATTGTATTTGTCAAACTTTCTCAGTTACAAAGATCATAGACATAGGGGCTGGGGTTGTAGTTCAGTAGTACTCACCTAACCTGTGTGAGGCACTGGGTTTGATCCTCAGCTCCACATAAAAATAAATTATAAAATAAAGGTATTGTGTACATCTACAACTAAAAAATATTTTTTTAAAAAAAGATCACAAACATAATTGTGTAAAAACTCAGGATATTCTTCTGCTTTTCTTGAGAAAAAGCTTCAGACAAATTAACCAGAAAGATACCAACCAAAACAATGGTGGACCAGGTGTGGTGGCGCATGCCTGTAATCCCAGAGGCTCAAGAGATAGGAGGATGGTGAGTTCAAAGCCAGTCTCGGCAATGTCAAGGCACTAAGCAACTCAGCGAGACCTTGTCTCTAAATAAAATACAAAATAGGGCTGGGGATGTGGCTCAATGGTTGAGTGTCCCCGAGTTCAATCCCCAGTGTCAAAAAAAAAAAAAAAAAAAGGTGGTAAATATTAATATATGGTCAGTACCTGCAGGTGTAACTCAGTGGTGGTCTATGTGGGGCCCTGTGTTCAAGCGTCACTCGGCACAGGAAAAAAGTGATTAATTGTCGAATCAAGACTAAATGAGGGTTAAAAGAGAAATTATGAGGAATTTATCTTTGAATTCAAATGGTCCCCAACTATAATGGTTCAACTTAACAACTTTTGAACTTCACAGTAATACAAAAGCATATCCATACAACCATTCTGTTTTTCACTTTTGACATAGTATTCAGTAAGTTATATGAGATATTTAACACTTTATTATAAAATACACTTTGTGTTGATTTTGCCCRATTTTGTAGGAGTAGGCTAATTTAAGTGTTGTAAGCAGTGTTTTTAGGTAGGCTAGGCCAAGCTGTGATGTTCCCTAGGTCAGGCATGTTAAATGGATACATGTATTTGCTTATTCTTCTATTCTAATGGTTCTTACCTTGACTTAGTGAGAAATATGTACTAGCTGAGCCCCCCCACCTTTAGAGAGTCTGACTTAGATGCTTTCTACTAGATTCTGCATGTCTTTTTATTGTTTGCTTAATGTCCTAAAGGCATTTGTGTTGGGAAGCTGTTTTCTTACCCTGTTACCAGATTGTAAAGTTTGGGCTTGAACACCGGTGTCATCCTCATACCCACATACAATCCAGTCTATTGCTCTTAATTCTTTCTGTCTTCCCTCCATGGCTTCCTCCATTCTTGTTGCTTTGATTACTTTTCTGAACTATGGAATTGGTCTCCTAATAGTCTTAATGCTTAAACTAAATGCTTACAGCCATCTTTCAAGCTGTTACCACAGTGATTTTTGTAAGTTGATGATTTAATCATGTTAATTCCATGGCTGGAAGATGGATCCCCATTACTCTAAAATAAAGTTAAATCTCCCTAAAAGATCCTCCCCAAGCCAGCTGTTGCCAATTTTGCAAGGTATCTCTTTTTCCTGTAGAAGACCTCCTTTTCTTCCCTAGCACTAATCATGCTGACCTATTTGTTGATCTCTCAATATTCTGTTCTTTTTCATGCTTYCCTATTTTAGAGTATTCATTGAGCTTTCTGTTCTTAAATCACACATTTTTCAGTTTTGGAATTCACTGACTCTTCTTAGTTATTACTTATAACAAAACCTTTTCTGACAACATTTCTCTTTCAAATGGAATTATCCTTTCCTCTCTGATTATTCCTTCCCTAATGGAAAATTTTATCAGTCTATGGAACCTTTTATGGTACTTATGTGTCTACAAGTGTATCTTTGTAGTGATATGGTAACTCTGTGAGGTTTGACAAAGGCCCTTCTTTGCCTTTTATTTCTAAAACAGTCCCTGGCACATGGTTGGGCTTACTCTAAWGGAATCTTAGAAGTGCATTGAATACTGTTCATTTCACTGACCAGATTATCTTCCTTAAGTCTACAAAAAATGATCCACATCCTTGTTTGTTTAGCTTTCTGTTGCCTCCTTATTTGGTGTATATATCATATAGGAAGGTGAGAATTTAAGACATTAAGTCTGTTAATATGTGAAATCCCACTTACATCAGAGGAAGTAGAACTCAGGAAAGCCTAAATGCAACATAACATTTATTGGTTTTGCATTTCAACATTTTCTCTTTGTTATAATTTTAAACACTACATTAAATTAGTAAGTGCTAATAACTTGTAATTATTTGGTAGGTCCATGGTGATGGCTACTTTGCAAAAGTCCCCAGATGATAAGCTTTTTATATCAACTGTTCATATTCCTTTTTTCCTAGCCTTCTTTGAATCCAGAAGCTGGCAAACAGAATCAGCCATGCAGACCTATTGGGACCCCTTCTGGAGTGTGGGGTAGGTAGATTTTGCCATTTTAAAGGCACAACTTGGATTTTTTTTTTTTTTTTTTTTTCTAACCAGGGAGAGGAGCAAAATTCTTTTTCTTGTTTCTTTATCTCTTGCTTCTCATCTCATCCATTTGCCCTTGGTAACTAACACCTATTATTTTTTCACTAATTTGAGTGTCTAAAAGGATGGCAGATGACTCTGCCTCCCTCAGAATACAGATAATTGAAAGCTTTTAGATCCCTGATTTTGGAAGGAGATTTTAAGTAAAGGGATASTAATATAAAATCATTAAAAAGTAATTTTGAGGGGCTGGGGATGTGGCTCAAGCGGTAGCGCACTCGCCTGGCATGTGTGCAGTTTGGGTTCGATCCTCAGCACCACATAAAAACAAAGATGTAGTGTCCGCCAAAAACTAAAAAATATATATATATTAAAAAATTCTCTCTCTTAAAAAAAAAAGTAATTTTGAAGTTAGCATTGYTAATCCATTTAAAATAGTTAATATTTTTTATTGTATTTATGTTATGAATGTTTCATAAACAAGTATACATAACAGTATAATCTTCAACATTCTGCTATATTACTAAATAGACACTTCAGAAGTATTCTTTGATAACTAGGGATATAGCTCAATGGCAAGAGTGAGGCCTTGGGTTTGATCCTTAACAGCTTAAAAAGAAGTATTCTTCAAAAGGTTGTATAACACTACATCCTGGGTACATACAATTTTGTTCCTCTGAATTCCAGTTGTTGATTTTTGGTGGTGATGGTAGGGTTACAAATGATGCCTATGGTGTAGGGCAAGGGGAAAACATAAATGCACATATTTATTTGTATTTGTTGGAAATAAGAAGACATAAAAAATTGAAATAAAAATCAGTGTGTCCCAAAACATGATTATAATCTTTGACATTTACAAATTGAACTCTCCTGGACCCTTTATGAGATGTGTTCTGTACATAGCCGGGTATATTATTTAGGAAGGCTTTGGCWTACCTAAACCTGGATTTGAATCCATTATTATAGGATTAAGGGTGATTGCTGTACCTCTTTTTGCTAATGATGTGTGACTGCTCGTGTTTTTGCTGATCACAGAATCCCATGGCAGATTTCTTTCCCCAGTTAACTCATTTCTCCATTTCCTTGATATCAGGAGCCTGCTACCTTTGGATATATTCTTGTATGGTCCTTGCCTGACTGGTAGCATTGTACATTAGACAAATCGTATCTCTAAAGTACTGCTAACATCTTTGTGCTTTCTGGCTGGTGTTTGAATTTAATACCAAGTGCTTCATATGCTACCATTTGTCCTATAGTTCCCAAGTAGTGTTGCTTTTAAGAATATCCGTTAAGTGCACAACAGGAAATGTTTGCTTCCTTGGTCTCTACTCTCACCTTATTTGTTAAAGGTGAGACTTTGATACAAAATATTGTGTTTTGTGTTATTCAACAAGCGTGACATTCTTTTATGTCTTCATTATTGTATTTCACAGAAAACCCACCTAGTGCCAAGCAACCCTCCAAGATGCTAGTTATCAAAAAAGTTTCCAAAGAGGATCCTGCTGCTGCCTTCTCTGCTGCATTCACCTCACCAGGATCTCACCATGCAAATGGGAACAAATCATCAACTATGGTTCCRAGTGTCTATAAGAACTTGGTTCCTAAGCCTGCACCACCTCCTTCCAAGGTATAAGTTAGAATCAGTGTAAGAACCTGTACAACATAAGTTTGGGAATAAATCAGAAAACATTTAGTAAATTCGTTTTTTCCTATCAAACATCATTCATCAGACATTCATTCAGTACCTTATATGTGTAGCTTGTACTATGTCTCCAGACTCTCTGCAGCTGCCTGCTGGATTAGCTTCATCTCATAAACCTGTTTCTCCTAGTTTGCCTTTCCACTAATAGCATTAACATTCATTTGATCATTCTGCTGACTACCGTGGCTGCTGCTTTCCTCTTCTCCTTAACCTTCTCACTCATTCCCTTCAGCCAAGTAATTATAAAGCCCCTCTAAGTTATTCCCACTGTGCTGTTCTTGTTTAGGACCTTGTCATCCCACATTTAGTGTTGCAGTGTACTCTTTTATTTTCTTATCTCTCCTATATTCATCTTCCACAGAACTGCCAGAATGATCATCCTAAAACAGTTGAATACAGCCAGGCGCGGTGGCACGCACCTATAGTCCCAGCTACTCAGGAGACTGAGGCAGGAGGATCACTTGAGCCCAGGAGTTGGAGGCCAGCCTGGGCAACATAGACTCCATCCTCCCCACCCCCCTCTCAACCCCCCCAACCCCCCCACCCCCCCAGAAAGAAATGAAAGGAAAGAAAAGAAAAACTGAATATATCATATCCCTTCCTAAATCCTTTCAGTGTTTCTAAACCATTTATAGCAGGGATTGGTCCTTTTTTTTTTTTTTTTTTTTTTTTAATGAAGAGCCAGATAATAAATATTTTAGTCTGTTCTGGTTACATATGGTCTTTGTTATGTATTACATCTTATTTTGTATCCCTTTAAACATGTAAGAATAATTAGCTCAAGAGCCATACAAAAACACTTCAAGCTAGATTAGGCCCATGGACAGTAGTTACCAATTTCTCATCTGATAATTCAGTGTTCAAACTACTTAGCAGTCGCATGTGCAATTAATTCTTCATAACCTAAGTGCTATCTATCTTCTTCATTTACTGCCCCTTTTTTTCTCTTCTTTCTCTTCAAGGTCATGCCAACCTCTTTATGAACCTTTTCTATTACAACTAAAGATCTAAATAATCATTATATCTCTATGGGAACATAACGCTCTTGTCTCTTACCACAGTAACTATAAAATTTTATCTGTTGTATTTGCTTATGTATAATCTCCTTAAGGACAGGCTTCAGATCCTCTTCATATTTATATCCCTGTTTCCTTTATTAGCACATAATTGCTTGAATAAATTTTAGCCTAAGGAAGCAATTAAAAGTTAGTGTTTCTTAAAAAAAAGAAACACYGAGCATTAATTCACTTTCCATTGTGCAAAAGCACTGTGTTTGATGCTTAGAAGCAAATACAAAGAAATCTAGCATCAATTATGACTTATGGAAATGTGTGGCACAGGARGACTAGTCACCTCTTGGTGGCCAGAGAGATAGACAGGAAAGGGCCTGGGTCCCAATATTCCATTTAAGGGGAAACCCCTAATGAGCTAAACTTCCTTTCACCAAGCCTAAAAATTTCACTACTTCTCAATAACATCGTGGTCTGGGGAGCAATCATTCAACACATGACCTTTAGTGGACTTTTTAAATCTAAACTGTATGAATTATCTTCTAAAAGGTTTAGGATACTTATTCCTCTGATGTTAAAAAAAAAGAAGGAATGTTAATTCAAGTGAGGAGAGCAGATATTATAAAGAAACACTCTATAATGGAAGTTAATAGAGTTTTGAAGTAARTAAGTTCCATCTTGCTCTTGTGGTATGACCTTAAGCAAGTTTTTTAACTTCTTGGTTTCGGTTTCTCCATTTATACAATAGATATTATAAAAATAATATCCACCTTTTAAGTTTTTTTGGTGAGGAGTAAATGAGACTTTATTAATAGAGTACTTAAAATGACACATAATAAAATGCCAATAAATGGCACCTATTCCCAACATGTCAGTGTACCTTACACGTTTGTCCCATCCTTAACTGTAAACAGTTTTCATAAGTTATTTCATTTGAGATGTCTGCAAGCATTCTGTTAAGACTATAGAAACTACAAAAATGGGAAAGACAATGTCATTTTGTCTTCAAGGATTTTAAGAGTGAACAATTGGTGAGGATAAAAATCATGATCCACAATATAACATGACTTTAGTCCTGTTGTGAGTCGAGGGCAAATGAAGAGAAAACTATGTGAAGGTTGTCATTACTATCCTTTTCAAAGATAAAGCTTGAACAGGATGATGACAGTTGACAGAGAAGAGAGGTGACTTGTAATGGGAAAGCAGAATAYACTGTGAGAATGAATAATGATTAGAGAAAGAAAGCAGAGTACACTGAGCATTCTTACCTGGAAAATTGGGGTAACTATGAAAATCAGTTTTTAGGAAACTTGAAGAGTGTGGTTTTGGGGTACCCTGAGTGTGAAATGTTAGAGAAAGAAATGAGATGACTAATAGTTAATTGTTAAGTATTAGCAATCATTACTAAAATTGAGTATTTATACATTGAACACTCATCAGGGCCTGGTGACTGACACCTATAATCCCAACAACTCAGGAGACTAAGGCGGGAGCAAGTTCAAGGTTAACCTTGACAACTTATCGAAACCCTGTCTCAAAAATTAAAAGGGGCGGGGGCTGGAGTTGTAGCTCAGTGGGTAGAGAGAGCACTTTCCTAACGTGTGAGGCACTGGGTTTGATCCTTAGCACCACATAAAAACAAAGGCACTGTGTCCATCTATAACTAAAAAATATGTTTTAAAAAAAAATAAAAGAAGGCTGGAAATGTGGCTCAATGGTAGAGTACCCCTGTATTCAATCCCCAGTATTAAGCATTGTGTCACTAGATGTACAAAATGAAAGAGATTTTTTAAAATTATACTCTGCCTGGGGAGGGTCCTCAAAAGTCTTTATAGCTAACTGTGTTCAAATACATGGTAAAGGGAAGAGAACTGTCATTTGTTGACATATTATTGTGTTCCAAGATCTTTGCTAGGCCTTTTACACATGTTAGCATATTTACTCCTCAATTATGTAACATGAGGTTTGAAAGCTGCTTAGTAATAAGAGTTAGGTCTCTTAGCTGGGCATAGTGGTGCACACCTATAATCCCAGCACCTCGGGAGGCTGAGGCAGGAAGATCTGAGTTTAAAGCCAGCCTCAGATATTTAGTGGGGTCCTAAGCAACTCATTTCTCTATAGAAAATACCAAAAAGGGCTGGGGATGTAGCTACATGGTTAAGCACCTCTGGGTTCAATCCCTATACCAGATTAAAAAAAGGGGGTGGGGAGATTCAACACTTTTAAACCATATCTAATTTCACAACAGTGCTGTTTGTGCTATTCCAGGATACCTCCCATCTTGAAGGATGAAGAGGAGAGAAGTTGAGAATTTAGAGTTAAACTTAACTAAGAATCTTTGTGTCACTCTCCAGGGCTAGTATCTTGAGCAAGTTATTTAGTTTTGCTAATTCTCCTTAACAAAAAAATTGAAGGGTTAATTATATCTGTCACGTAATTGTAATGAAAGAATAAAGTTAAATGAACTTTAATGAAGTTAAAGTTTTAAAGATTTTGAAATACATTTCCTAGCTCATCCTAATTACTCAGTAAATGAAAGTTTAAAAGTATGAGTTTGTTAAAGAGCAAATAAAGTAGGTGGGATATTTTAGGCAAAAGGAACCATTACCCCAAAATGGGGGCAAAACATGCCATATTTGGGAGGAGGCAAGTGATTCTGTGTGGCTAGTATGAGTGAAGTGATGAACAAGACTTCAGGTAGACCTGTATAAAAGCTTAGGGGAAAAGCTGGGGATAGAGATACAGTTTTACATATTATTACATAATTTTATTTTAAACTAATTTATTCCACAGAACTAGTTTTTCTRATGAAGTTCACCTAGGAAAAAATAACAGCAGAAGAAGAGTTGTGAGCATAGAAAACTATAGAATGCCTACATCAATAGAAAAGACTGAAAGGGATTCAGGAAGTAAGAGCAGAACCTAGAGAATGAAGCATCAGGGAAAGGGAAAGAGATATGTTTAGAAAAATTTGGCAATGAGCAATAAATATGTCATTCCTCAAAGAAGACATATTTTTGAAAGCTGTCCTTTGTAATGTGAGGTTGAGGTTTTTTAGTTATTTATAAAAGAGGTGTTTTACAAAATGGAGATAGAAGTAAGTATTGCAGGGAACAAAGTATGCCATAGTGTTTTAAGTTACTAAAGATTAAGTTGGAATAAAATTAAGCATCAATATAGGCATCCTATTACATGTAAAGCTATCTGGTAAACCTTTTGTACTACTGTGGCAGAAACACAAAAGTGTTTTTTGTGCCATGAGGTGACAACGTTAAAAGAAAGACAAGGCTTCTAGTAACATTTTATAACTGAGGAAGCCACAAATCATCTTTAATGTTAACACAAGCAGTCATCTTTTGATTTTCATCAGTGCCAGAGCTTATCTAATTGTATATTCTTTTTAAAGGTGTTATTGGATAGTGGAAAAGCAAAATCATGTACTAGCTGAGTGACATTGAACAAATTGCATAACGTTATTGTCTTAAGTGTCGTTCTCTCTAAAACTTTGGGCAGTGGCACATACCTGTAATCCCAACGACTCTGGAGGCTGAAACAGGAGGGTTACAAGTTTGAGGCCAGCCTTCTTGAGACTCTATCTCAAAAAACACTTGGGATGTAGTTCAGTGGTAAAGCACTCTGGAGTTCAGTCTCCAGTCCCACAAAAATAATACTGATTGTACCTGATGTGTTTAAGAACAAAATAAAACTATATGACAAGCACCTGGTACATGGTAGATATGCAGTAAAATTAATTCCTTTTGTAAAGTTACTGTGTCATCTATTGTACCCTCAACTAAGAGGGCACCCAAGAAAGGAATAATTTTCACACAAACCCTTTCTACTTTAAGTCTCTTGATTATAATATTTCAGTCTGCAAAAATAAGTAAAAATTTTCCATTTGCTTCAGCCCCATTGACTTGCCTCATCTTTCTTGGTCTCCTCAGATAGTGTCATTGACTCAAAAAAATAGAGCATTACAGATATACTGTGCTGCCATCAGAGTTGGGGTCATGGCCAGACTCCACAAAACTAAGAAAAAAAGGGGCCTCTGCTGGGTACAGTGATGCATGCACATCTATAATCCCAGCATCTCAGTAGACTGAGGCAGGAGGATTGCAAGTTTAAAACCAGCCTCAGCAACTTAACGAGACCCTGTCTTAAAAAAAAAATTAATGGCTGGGGATATAGTTAAGTGTCCCTGGGTTCTATTGCTGGTACCAAAAGGGGGAGGAGGYGCTAGGTATCCTTGAAGTAGCTTCTTGCCTTCAAAGTTTCTAGAAAACAGCATTTTTCTGATGTGTTATGTGGAAGTTAATAACGTCATAAAAGAAAAATTGAGGGTCTGGGGTTGTGACTCAATGGTAGAATGCTTGCCTAGCACATGTGAGACCCTGGGTTTGATTTTCAGCACCGCATTAAAAAAATAATAAAATAATTAAAGTGTTATGTCCATCTGTAACTAAAAAAGAAAATTTTTGAAAAATTGGGTTAAATGGGACATCTTGTCAAATTTATCTGTGCACTTAAACACGGTAATGTGAACCATTGAACTTTGATCACCCCAGTACCTCTCAGGCTGATTGAAGTAGAGCTCTTTTGATAAATATCTGTTAACATCCCATAAGGCTCCTCTGCTTTCCATCTTCCTTTATCCTTCAATGTCTAATCTCAGAAAGGGTTTGTACACCTCCCAAACATGTTGAGACAGGTAAGCTCTGGGGACTTGCATTCCCACATAACATTTCACTCTTTGCTTTAAGATTTTTACAAGCTGAGCTCCTATTTGTATGCTTGTTTTGACTTATATATTTATTCCCATATAGCCCAATGCATGGAAATCTAGCAGAATGGAACACAAATCAGGATCCCTTTCCTCTAGCCGGGAGTCATCATTTACCAATCCAATTTCTGTTACCAAACCAGTGGTACTGGCTGGTGGCGCAGTTCTCAGCTCTCCCAAAGAGGTGAGTGAGGATAATGCAGGACAGCCTTTTCCAAAGTTGCCATTTCCTATTTACTTACACTAAGATATCCACCATGACTCTGTAGCTATAATGCCATTTCTTTTGTTAACTGCTTAACTGAGAATTTTTTTTTTTTTGCTTTTGTCTCCCATTATGAGCATACAAAAGTGGACAGTAGCTGAATGGGGTGAATGTTCTGTGATAGACCTACACCAGCATACTGCTGGTGTCTGTAGAAGGATCAGGAAGATGCTATATAGGCCAGCAAGTCTTAACTATAGAAAACCTGCAAAAATAAGTCATTAAAAAAAAGGATTACCTTTTTTGTTAAAAGATGAGAGTATTAAATAGGCTGCCAGATTCTGGAAATCTGTGCCATTTAGAAGTAATCCAGAGAATCTCAGTGCTTGCCCTTTACTATCAGGAGCAAACCTATTTGTGGTATTTGCCTAGAGTCCCTCCAGCATTACCCCTCCAATTGAGATCAGCTCCTCTCGTCTGACCAAGTTGACCCGCCGAACCACTGATAGGAAGAGTGAATTCCTGAAGACTTTGAAGGATGACCGAAATGGAGACTTTGCAGAGAACAGAGACTGTGACAAGCTGGAGGATGTAAGAGCATATGAGTTCTCTGGGACAATATAGATATTTTCCTTTGTTATATGTAGGGGGATTTTTGTTTGTTCGTTTTTTCCTTAAGGGTGAAAGAAATGGCAAGATTTTAAAATGTACATAGTATCTGTAAAAGTAAGAGCCTTTGATAAAGTGAATTTAATTCATTGTTCATCAGAGATTCAAACTAGGATTTATTTTATTGACCATTAGGTTCACTTACTGAAGGGTATCTTAATTGCTTCCAAGTTCTAGTAATTATAAATAAAGCTGTTGTAAACAACTGTGTGCAAGTTTTTGTGACCATTAGTTGTCAGGTCCTTTAGCCATTGTGATGGCTAGATCATAAGGTAACAGTGTGTTGAGGTTTTTTTGGTTTGGGTTTGGCAGAGGAAGGTGGTTTGTTTTTGTTTTTAGTACTGCGAGTTGATCCCAGGGACAGTTTAGTACTGAGCCACATCTTCAGCCCTTTTTATTTTCTGAGATATGGGGGTCTCTTGCTAAATTGTCAAGGCTGGCCTTGAACTTGACAGTCCTCTTGCCTCAGGCTCACAAGTAGTTGTGATTATTTATAGGCATGCTCCACTGTACCTGGTTGCATATTTAGTTTTGAAAGAAACCACCAAACTGTCTTCCAAAGGAGTTATACCATTTACATTACTACCAATAATGAAGGAGAATTCATATTGCTCTACATAACAGAATGTGATATTGTCCATGTTATGAATTTTGACCCTTTTAGGTAGATATATAGTGGTATCTTGGTTGTTTTAATTTACATTTCCCTAGTGACATGAGATGTGGCTCAAGCTTTCATATGCCTATTTGCTATTTATATCTTATGTTTAGGTCTTCTGCCTATTTTTAAATCAGGTTGTTTTCTTGTTGAATTTTAAAGTTCTTTGTATATCTTGGATAACAGTCCTGTCAGATACCCATTTTACAAACATTTCCTCCCTCGATGTGGCTGTCAGTTGTTTTTATGGATCATGCCTTTGATGTTGTATCTAGAATAGTCATTGACATTTAGATATCTTATGGTTTTGTATTTAAATTTAGATCTGTAATTTTGAGTTAATTTTGTGAAGGGGTATAAAGTCTTCAACTAGATTCATTTTTTTGTATATGGATGCCCAGTTGTTCCCATACCTTTATTGAAAAAACTGTCTCTTCTCTATTTTATCACCTTTGTTCCCTTTTCAAAAATCAGTTGACTATGTATTTCTGGACTCTATTCTGTTCCATTGATCTGTTTGTCTATTCTTTTGCAAAAACCACACTGTGTTGATTATTCTAGCTATTATAGTAAGCCTTAATGTCTGGTAGCATCAGTCCTCCAACTTTGTTCTTTTCTTTTAATATCATGTTAGCTATTCCGGATCTTTTGCCATTCCATGTAAACTTTGAAATTCAGTTTTTTATATAGCAGGTCCCATTTTTAAGTGGGAAAAACCTGTGGGCCGAGGTTTTCTTCAGAAAGCGCTTTCCTGGGTTCTGACTCCTTGATTTTGTAGGTTGCTTGTCTTACAACAAGAATCATAAGCCAAGTGGGTGGTGCATGAATGTAATCCCAGTGACTCTGGAGGCTGAGGCAGGAGGATTACAAATTTTTAGACCAACCTCAGCAATTTAATGAGACTTTGTTTCAAAATTTTTAAAAGGGGGTGGGTCTGGGGATTTATTTCGCTCAGTGATTAAGCACCTCTGGCTTCAATCCGGGGTACCAAAAGGGAAAAAAGGATCATTAAATCAAGTGTGTCCTTCCTTTTGTTTATTGCAGTTGGAGGACAACAGCACACCTGAACCAAAGGAAAATGGGGAGGAAGGCTGTCTTCAGAATGGTCTTTCTCTCCCTGTAGCAGAAGAAGGGGGGATCCTTTCACACTCTCTGGAAGCAGAGCATAGGTAAGAGAGGACAAGATCATAAAGAATGTTGGGCTGGGGGTGTGGCTCAAGCGGTAGTGTGTTTGCCTGGCATGCGCGCGGCGCAATTCTCTCTCTCTCTCTCTCTCTTTAAAAAAAAAAAAAAAAAAAAAGAATGCTATGTGTGACCTGTTGGTGAGGATCTTAAACATTCTTAAGACATCTTGGATAGAACTGAATTGGGCATACAGAGAGAAGAGTCCATGAACATTGTAACTTGTTCAGTGTTAACATAGGTTAGCCTGTTGGCTACTTAGCATTCTCTCACAGACTTGGCCAAGTTTTTCACAATCTCCTCACCAAAGTTTTCTTGTCATTGAATTTCAGACTCAGTTTATGGCTCCAGTCCGAAAAGGAAAGAAATGAGAATCTGTTTCCTGGGACTGTGGTGCTGTCCCAAATGAACTGTTACCATAAAATCCCCTTAAAGGAGCCTTGGAATGCTTGAAACCCCTGGTGCTTAAATGAGGGCCTTGAACATAAAGCAGCCAGCTTTCTTGGGCACGACTGGATAGCTTGTGGAGCCTGCCAAGTATGGGAGTACTTTCTTAAAAGAAATCTCCTATTCCAGGGGAATTGTAGGATTAGGTTCTGAGAGAGGCCACAGTGCCATGAAATTGAAAGAACTTAAGATTTTCTTGTGAAAAGCCGTAGATTGCCCACTTAGGCTTACTGTTGTCCTATTTTCTTTGTCTTTCTACCTCCACCAGGTTATTGAAATCAATGGGATGGCAAGAATATCCTGAAAATGATGAGAATTGCCTTCCTCTCACAGAGGATGAGCTAAAAGAGTTCCACATGAAGACAGAGCAGGTATGTCATAAATCCTCCCTGGAGACTAGTTAAACACTAGGAAAGAAAGGAAGCCCTAAGTGAGAGAGAGAAACCTTGAAAAAGAAAGTATAAAGTAATTACCGTAGTAGAAATATAAAGGAGCATCAAACTCTGCCTGAACAAAAAGGATCTCCAGTGGTAGGTATACCAACAGGCCAGTGACTAGCAGATTCCAGAAGGTAACATTCTTCATCCTCATAGCTCTAACCCCTTATCAGAACCCCAAGATTATGTTCCAAAGGACTGAGCTCTGTGTTTAGGAAGAAGCCAGAACTTTCTCTATATTCAGCCCTGAGTTTCTTCTGCTGCTCTGGCGAGAACTAAGAAACCAAAAGGCTTACATGAATTCATTCAACAAATGCTTGGCCACTTTCTCTGAATAAAACTCTGCCAAAGGGTAAGGATTTGGCTCACTGGTAGATCTCTTGCCTTATATAGGTGACACCCTGCATTTGATCCCCAGCATTGCAAAAAACAAGAACAAAAAAAACCCTGCCAGATCCTAAGGTTTACAACAATGAACAAGATAAATGAAGTTTCTATAAACCTCCTTGAGTTTACATTCTGGTGGCATATAAATGATAGCTGAATAAATGACACAGAAGGAAAATTTACAGGCTGACATAAGACCTTACCACTCAGAACTCAGAAATAGGAAATCTCAAATCCTACCTCGGACAAAATGAATCACAGGTCCTTGGCGTGGTGGCACACGCCTGCAGGAGGCTGAGGCAGCAGGATTATGATTTCAAGGCCAGCCTCAGCAACTTAGCTAAGCCCTAATCAACTTAGACCATGTCTCAAAAAATGAATATGAAGCTCAGTTGTAAAAGCACCCCTGGGTTCAATCACTAGTACTCCAGTACCCCCCCCCCAAAAAAAAAGCCAACCTTGGATAATTATTTGTACATTAAAGTTTAAACAGCCCT